TCTTCTTCTTCTTCTTCTTCTTCTTCTTCTTCTTCTTCTTCTTCTTCTTCTTCTTCTTCTTCTTCTTCTTCTTCTTCTTCTTCTTCTTCTTCTTCCTTCTTCTTCTTTTTTTGCCAAACCAGGAATTGAACTCAGGGCCTTGAACTTGTCAGGGGAGCGCTTATTCTACTGAGCCATCTCCCCGGCCCCTGAACTTGTGCATTCACCCCAGAGTTTCACATTTTTCTATATAGATATTCTAATGTCTACAGAAGATAACAGGCTGAGAGACTGACTGGCTTAATGTTGTTGGATATGGTAATTCTACTAAATTATGGACATATGGAGACTCATTAGATACCAGTTTTAAGAGTGGGATGAGAGAAAGCAGAATGAAAATATTTCTTGAATTTATTTTTAATAATTTTATTGAGAAAGAAGTAGCAAAGAGACAGTTTCAAAACAGGTTAGTAGAACAGTTACAATAATTAATACATTGCATATTGTCTTCATAGTGGTTATTCATAGTACAAGATGCAGACATGATATCTTGTCTAAATACTATTAGTTCAAAACTTTCTTCTCATTGAACTAAGAGAAAGTAGCTGTATATCTATGCTATTTTGCATATCTTGAATTAAAGTACAGAATGAGTTATGTGCTAAGCACAGGCCTTGCTAGCATTCGTCTGTTCTGTTTTCCCTCCCTTTGTTTCTTTCCATTCTTCCTTCTGTTCTTTCTTTCACACTTCTGTCTCTATTTCCTCTTTCTGGAAGACAGTTGGGGATAGCTGTCCTGCATCTCTGTCCCTTTTGGGACAGCATGACTGTTTAATTCCATGTATCATGTCATGTGCCAGTGGGCATTTGATACAGAATGATACTTGTCATTACTAGGTTTGTAATGTGTACTTACAGAGACCGAGGGCTTAGTGTTAGCTTGGTGCTACCCGGTGTGCCCTGCATGTACTTGTCATGTGTAACAGCTGGTAGTATCTAGACCAAGTAAATTGCTCCTTGTTAAAGGCTTGAGTGAGACTGTGGGACATGGCCAGGTCAGACCCAAAAGTCCCAATATTTCCAGTAGGAGGTTGTCACAATCATTTTGGGAAGGGGACAACTCTAGAATTATGGTTGTGATTGTGCCAGTTCATGGGGACTGGGGGGAACCAGTATCCTCCTTTTAGAGAAGATACTAGAGCTCAGAGACTATCCCAGTATTTGGTTTTATTGTCCTCTAACTGTTTTAGGGTCTATTTCAGTCCAAATATGTTTAAAGATATTTTGTTGCTGTTGTTGTTCTGAGTTACTGTCTCGTTTTGCAGTTCAGGCTGGACTTGAACTCACTATGTAGCCCAGGCTGGCCTTGAACTTGCAGCCATCCTTCTGCTCCAGCTTCCTGAGTGCTAGGCTCACTGGCTTGGCCTGTCATGCCTGACTAAAGGTGATTTTCCAATGGTGGGTTTCAGTTTGTTAAAAATTGTCACGCAGATCATAATACTTCAAGGCTCAAGAAGATTTTCTTTTTTCTTTTTTTTTCTGATTCATTTTTTACCTTGTTTCAAAACAGATTGCAAGTAGGTTTGGCAAAGTAATGTGATCTAGGAAAATATTATGTTTATGGCTGTCTGGTTTTGCTGTTTCCTTGAGAATGGCTTTTAAAGTAGTGATTATGACTAATCTAATGTGATCTAATAGATACCTAATTTGTTTCTTGTTGCTGTTTTGTTTTGAGACACGTTCTTTTGTGTAGTCTAGGCTGGTCTTGAGCTCACTATGTAGGCTGAGGTGGCCTCAAACTCTACATCCTCCTGGCTCAGCCTCATGAGTGCTGGGATTACGCATGTGTACCACCACACCTGGTTTTAATTCATTCATTTTATATTAACTTTACATCACCTCCTGAACTCATATTTTCTTTTGTTTAAACTGTGGCTTGGGCCGGGGAGATGGTTCAGTGGAATAAGTGCTTCCCTGGCAAGTGCAAGGGCCTAAATTCAATCCCAGGTTCTGCCAAAACAAACAAATAAACAAACAACAACAACAAAAAATCTGTGGCTTTTCCTTGCCTTTAACCCAGAGCTGTCTCAGGACCATTGTGGGATTTCTGTCCTGAGGGTGTCGCACAAGGAGGGTAAGGGGGATTTACTTCTTGAAATAGCATATGTCCAAGCTTCACCTTCTCCACTGAGGCCCCCTCATGCCTTGTGTTAAGGGCTTGTGCAATGTGTGTGCCTGAGGGGGGTGATGACAAGAGGAGGAGGGTGAGGAAAGGGAAGGAAGCCCTATGGGAGGGAAA